AGACATCCTCAAGACTTTATTAATATCCCCTTTATTAATACCTATCTTCCACTTGTACACTTCGATCAGGTCTCCCCTCATTCTTCGTCTAACAAATGAATGTAACTTAAGAGTCTTCAATCTTTCTTCATAAGGAAGATTTCTAATGCTATGTATTAATTTAGTCATCCTACGCTGAATGTTTTCTAATCAATTTATGTCCATTTTGTAATACGGAGACCAGAACTGAGCTGCATAATCTAGGTGAGGCCTTACTAATGATGTATAAAGCTGCAGTATGACCTCTGGACTTCTGTTGCTTACACTTCTTGATATAAATCCCAGTAATCTATTTGCCTTATTACGTATGCTTAGGCATTGTTGTTGGTTTAAGGTTGCTGCTCACCATAACCCCCCAAGTCCTTTTCGCAATCTGTATGGCTAAGTTCTACATCATTTAACTTATAAGTACTAGGGTTATGGGCACTCCCAAGCTTCAGAACCTTGCATTTATCTACATTGAACTGCATCTGCCACTTTTCTGACCAAGAATAGAGTTTGTTTAAATCCTCCTGAAGTTCCATAACATCTACGTTTGAATCAATTATCCTACCTATCTTTGTGTCATCGGCGAATTTGCTCATATCACTAGTAATTCCCTCATCAAGATCATTGATATATATTATAAAACAACAACGGGCCCAAGACTGATCCCTGTGGAACGCCACTTGTTACAGATCCCCACTCGGATTTAACCCCATTTATGGACACTCTCTGCTTCCTGTCAGTGAGCCATTACTCGATCCACGAGAGCACTTTTCCCCCAATGCCATGAGCTGCCACTTTCTTTAACAGTCTATGGTGCGGAACTCTATCAAAAGCCTTACTAAAATCTAAGTAAATAATATCAAATTCTTTATTGTGGTCAACAGCCTCAAAGCTTTTACTGAAGAAAGTTAATAAATTAGTTAGACAAGACCGGCCTCTTGTGAATCCATGCTGAGTATCATTAATCAAGCTATGCTTATCGAGATGGCTTCTTATAATCTCAGCTATAATTGACTCTAGTAATTTGCCTACAATTGAGGTCAGGCTTATTGGGCGGTAATTTGACGGTAACGACTTGTCCCGTTTTAAAAATAGGAGTTACATTAGCCATCTTCCACATATCAGACACTACACCTGTTTGAAGAGATAAATTAAAATATTAGTTAATGGTTCACAGAGTTCCATTTTGCATTCCTTAAGAACCCTTGAAAAAACCTCATCAGGACCCGGCGACTTATTTTGCTTCAGTCTGTCTATCTGCTTCACAACCATCTCACTAGTGACTGATGTTACATAATTTATCTTCTTCTAGCCCACTGTAAAAATTAATTACTGGAATATTGTTAGTGTCTTCCTGTGTAAAAACTGAGAGAAAATAATTATTTAAAAATCAAGCACATTTCATTCTCTTTGTCAGTAAGGTGCCCATAGTTATTTTTAAGGGGACCTATCTTATCTCTAACTTTTGTTCTATAGACCTGGAAAAAAACTTTTTGGGTTAGTTTTAGAATCCCTAGCAACTTTAATTTCATAGTCCCTTTTAGCTTTTCTTATCCCCTTTTTAATGTCCCTCTTAATGTCAATATATGATTCATAAGATGACCCTCACCTCTTTTGATACGCCTATAAATTCCTTTCTTATGCCCTAGTAGATATTTGAGCCTATTATTCATCCATTTTGGGTCATTTCTATTTGATCTAATTTCTTTATATGGGATAAATGCTCTTTGAGCAGCATGTATAGTGTTCAGAAAACTGTCATATTGATAGCTCTCTTCGTTACCCCAGTCAACAGATGATAAGTGTTCTCTAAGCCATCGTAATCTGCTAAGCGAAAATCTGGGACTGTTACTGAGTTATCGTACTATCGTACTTCCATTCAATGCTAAATGTAATTGATTTGTGGTCGCTAGCACCCAGTTCCTGTGAAATTTAAAATTTTATTAACAAGGGATTCTTTGTTTGCCATAACTAAGTAAAGCAGGTTATTTCCCCTTGTGGGTTCTGTCCAAACTGCTTAAAAAAAAAACAATCCTGATATACTTCTAAGAAGTCGTATGATTCTAATTCCCAGGTCAAAAAATTTCCCAATCAACATGACTAAAGTTAAAGTCTCCTAGAATTACTACATTATAAATGCCTTGTGGCCTTAACAATTTCCTCCCATAGTAGTTTCCCTTGGTCCCTATCTAAGTTTGGGGACAGTATATCCTCCTAAAATCAGTTTTTCATGCCCCTCTAAAAATTCTATCCAAAAGACTCTGTATGTGTTACTTCAGACTTAATACCCTTTTTTTATGCAACAGTTCAAGCGATCTCGGACATACAATGCCACAAATATTCTATCTTCTTGGAACAATTTTAAAAACCCCTGAATATGACATTCCGCAGGCATGTCCCGACTTTTTGAATTAAACCACGTCTCAGTCAAGGCAAATACATCAATGTTACCTAACACTAGCAACAAATCTCAACTCGTCCATCTTATTCCTAGCACTACGGAAATTAGCAATAATAAACATTGAAAGACTCTCCTTCTCTTTACCTTTCCTGCTCATTTCTATTTTTTCTACTAAACCTATTACTGTCCTTATCACCCAAGGTCCTGGCTTTTCAATATCTATCTCGTTCTTATTATTACTAGTTCCCCTAGAACTCGTAATATTCCCACACTGGGAAATTCACTGTTTTTTCCCGCCAAAACCCCTACCACTAACTATTCCCAGTTTAAAATCCTAACTGCTCCCTCCACTGCAGTTGCCAGTGCTCCCACCCCCCACCTAGATAAGTGAACCCCATCCCTAGCATACATGTCATTTCTGCCATAGAAGAGGTCCCAGTTGTCAATGAATGTTACTGCATTTTCCTTACAGTTATTTGTCCAGCCAGCAATTGACACCAATTGCCCTGGACAACCATTCATTTCCAACTCCCCTCCTTGGGAAAATAAACCCCATATGAGAGGGTTCCCACCCTTACTTCTAATTATTTCTATTGCTGACCTATACCCGCTAATCAGGTCCTCACTCCTACGTCTGCCAACATTGTTGCCTCCAGCACTGAACAGATAATAGGGTTGCTCCCATTACCTCTCATGATGTCATCCAGAGGCTAACAATATCCCCATCCCCGCCCCCGGAAAGCAAACTCCTGCTCCTACTCCTGTCCTTCAAGCAGAAAAGCCCTATCCATATACCTAACTTGGCTATCCCCAACAACAACAATATTCGTACCTTCCTTAATGTCTTTCGGCGTGACGTTCCCAGTAGTCGACTCACATTCGTCGGGGAGCACTGAGAATGTATTTGGGTGTTTCCATAACAGTTTCCACGGCAGTCTCTTTCTTCTTCATCGTTTCTACCTTTCCATTCGCTTCTTTATCGTCAACTTCTTTCCCTGCTGTCCAGCCACTGACCAGTTTCCCTTCTTGACCTGAGGACTCAAAACAGGAGGACTACTCCGAATCTTTTTGTTTTCCTCGGTCAGTCGCCGAATTTCCATATTCGCCAACCTCAATTCTTCCTTAAGCTGTTGGTAAAGTTGCTCGATGGAGAGCATCTTGCTTCAATTCTAGAGAGCGCGCAAACAGGTCTTCACAGAGCCAAGTACACGTCAACACTGAGAATTGGAGCTGCCTCGCATAGGCCAGTAGGTCTGTTGCAGTGTTCCTTCTTTCTTATGTTCTTATAAAGGTAAAGTGTTATTTTATGAATTATTAATGTATTTATTCTGCATGTCTCATTGTGTTCTGTGTAGGAAAATGTATGGTAGGTAAGACACATAGGCAACAATTAGGCAACTTTATTCCGAAACGTTTCGCCTACACAGTAGGCTTCTTCAGTTGAATACAGAAAGTAGGCAGGAACAGTAGAGATGTGGAGACGATGTAATCAGTCCATCACCCTTGAAGTCGTAGATTTGATTTAACTGTTGCCTACGTGTCTTACCTACCAACCTGTCGGTATTGCATACCATTTGATATTCACCCTGTCAGACACTGCAACACAATGGCATTTTGGTACAGAAAACACCTTGTACAACTTCTTCAAGTGAGAATTGTTTGATCTGAGAGGGACGTGACCTCTCAGTGGCAGCATTCTCACTACTACTACTACTACTTCTCTGCACCTCTCCTTCCGACAGTATTTAAGTCTCTGCGCTGTCGCTTGATCTTCATATAGTTCCAGACTATGTTACTGAACTTCTCCAGGCTGAGGGACTGACAACCTCAAATCTACGACTTCAAGGGTGATGGACTGATTACATCGTCTACACATCTCTACTGTTCCTGCCTACTTTCTGTATTCGACTGAAGAAGCCTACTGTGTAGGCAAAACGTTTCGAAATAAAGTTGCCTAACTGTTGCCTATGTGTCTTACCTACCAACCTGTCGGTATTGTATACCATTTGATATTCAGGAAAATGTATATTTCAAGTGAAAAAAAATAATTTTTTTAATACTTCTGGGTGTTTGTAACGGATTAATTAGATTTCCATTATTTCTTATGGGGAAAATTAATTCAGATAATGATAAAATCGGTTAAGGACAAGCTCTCTGGAACGGATTAATATAATTAACTGAGGGTCCACTGTCTTCCCCTATAATTTTTACACTCTCTTTTGTCCCCTCTGTCTTTATACAAGGGACTATGCATGCTCTCTTCCAATCCCTAGGTACCTTACCCTCTTCCATACAATTATTAACTAAAAGCACTAACCACTCCAAAACTACATTCCCACCTTTTAGCATTTGTCTTTATCCCATCAATCCCACCTACTCTACCCTGTTTCATTCTATCCACTGCCTCATGCACTTCCCCCCACACTCACAACTGGTTCTTCCTCACTCCTACAAGATGTTGTACCTCCTTGCACAATGCACAAAATCACAGCTTCCCTATCTTCATCAACATTTAACAGTTCCTCAAATATTCCCTCCATCTTCCCAATACGTCTAACTCTTCATTTAATAACTCTTTTCACTTTCTTTAACTGTTAATAAGGTGGGTACATATTTTTCGTATGTGAGACATCATGGTGTGCAAACACAAAGCTTCAAAACTAAATGATATGTAAATGATACCTACTTTGCTTGAACCTTCTTCTGCAATTTCAGTTCCCAAATTTTCTTCTCCTGCTGCACTGCCTGGTCTGCTTGCTTCCTTGTCTGAACCAACTTCACTGTCGCTCCCTTTGGACTTCTTATTTTTGCTTCTCTACAAAAGTTTAAAGATAATTCAGCAACAATAATAAATTGGTAACTAATTAGATCTGTTGTAATGTACAGCACTGTCATATATTACCAACTTATTAATTACAGCAAATGGGAGAGTTCTGAGATAAGAACAGTAACTGGTGCATTTATGAATACTGTTTGTCTATTTTCAAAGTACTGCAAAAATTCTAAAAATATACAAAAGTATATACAGTACAATTCCAAATATTCACACTCCAAGTACAGGATATGAACACCCTAAGTGGATAAAAGCAATATGTGACTAAACCTTTCATTCAGAGTATGTGAAAGGTAAACTAAGTGTGAAAGGTATGATACAAATTTTTATCTATGAAGGAAAGAACACCAAAACAGAGAGGAAAATGTGCAAGACTATAAAAATGAAGTTCAAGTATATGTTTACAGAAAAGGACACATCATAATAATGAGAGATTTCTTGTATGAATAGCAAATCTTTCTTCTTTCTTTCAACACACTGGCTGTATCCCACCGAGGCGGGGTGGCCCAAAAGGAAAAACAAAAGTTTCTCCTTTTACATTTAGTAATATATACAGGAGAAGGGGTTACTAGCCCCTTGCTCCTGGCATTTTAGTCGCCTCTTACAACACGCATGGCTTACGGAGGAAGAATTCTGTTCCACTTCCCCATGGAGGATGAATAGCAAATGCCTACAGCAATAATAGGTAATGTCACCAACATGGTTCCACAAAGACCGGTGTTTGTTCCAATAACTTTTCTAATTAGTTATCCCTGAAGGGGCACTTTTAAGTGGTTGATAATTTTTTCCTCCCAAGATTTTTGCTTATAGCTTGAGAATGCCTCATCTGATGGGCTTTAAATTTTCAACACTGGTGTACCCTAACTAGGAAAAGGTTTATGGAACTAGTGACATGTGCAGGTGCCTCCTGGTGATATTTACATAGACCTTTCCTGATTTTTATTCTCGTGTGATAACTAAAGAAAGCCTCTATTGATGAGCTTTAAATTTTCAACACTGGTTAATCATACTCAAAAGAAGGTTGGAACCGTTATTGGATTGTGAAGATGCAAATTTGCCAAAATATATTTTTAAAATGTTATATAATATTTTCCCTTCTTTTTAGGAGACAGGAGGAGGTTGTGACTTGGTGGACTCTCAAGATGCCAATTTGCCAATTTCATTTTTAAAATGGTGTGGTATTTTTCCTGCGAAATACTTTAAGGATGCTTTATCTGAACAGTCTGAATCATTAATGCCTTGATGCATACTCAGCAGGCTTCTTCAGTCGAATACAAAGGTGACATAAGAACTGAGAAGCACTGCAACAGGACTACTTGCCTATGTTAGGCAGGTTCTTCTCAAATCCAATTCTTCTCACTCATAAATAGTGGTTGAGCAATAGAGTTCTATAAGTCCTCTGTACCAAGATACAGTTGGTTTGCTGGTATCCTGATACAGAGGACATTTTCTACACCTTTACTGCTCAACCACTAGTTATGATGGATAAGGGTGGAAGTAAATGGTATAAAATACCGACACAATGGACAAATAAACACATATGCAATATAATGTGATCCTTTGTTGATAACGTTTCACCCACACAGTGGGCTTTATCAAGTCATGAACAGATCTACCTGGGTGAAAGGTACACGAGTATTTACAGAATGGAGTCAGGTGGAGAATGCTGGGTAGGCTGGATCTGAACCTGCAGTCTTCTGAGTGGGGTGATAGAGGCTAAGACCTTGGGTAGCTTTAAAAAGAGACTGGACAAGTATATGAGTAGACCTTCTGCAGTGTTCCTCCATTCTTATATGGGATAACGATGAAGAAGTTTCTTGGCAAGGGATTCAGCTAGGTTACAGAAGTCGTTGTTTCGGTCGAAGTTGTTGGATGTACAGATAAGTGATGATTCCAGGGTTCTGCGGTATTGAGTGCTTTCTTCTCTGGCGATAAGTCTTGCGTTTCTGTAGTTGACTAAATGGTTGTGTGAATTTTCGGTGTTGAACACGGGCATTCCTTAAATCGTCTGATCTGCCTGCGTACTGGTGTTCTGAAATACATGTTTGGAGGTCTCTGGACGTTTCACCCATGTATAATTTGCTGCAGTCATTACTAGGGATTATGTATACCCCTGCAGAGGATTGGAGCTTGTTCTGTCTATTACTGGTAATATCCTTGATGGTGGTGGATGTGTAGGTAGATACTTGGAATGAGGTATTGGAAAAGATGTTGGAAACGTGTTTGGCAATGGAGTTGGTGGGGAGGACTATGTATCTCCTCTCAGCATTGTCTTCTGTGGGTGTGTTAAAGATGTTATATGCCTGCAGTCTCTAATGAAGTGACAAGGACAGTGAAGTTTAGAAAATACTTGATCAATTAGCGAGCATTCTTCCTCAAGGAACTCATTGCTGCAGATTCGGAGTGCATGCAGGAAAAAGCTTATAATTACACCATGTTTAGTTTTGGTGTCGTGGTGAAGGTAGAAGTAGAGAGGATAGCGTTGGTTGGTAGATTTTCAACAGACTTTAAAATGAAGTTCTTGGTCAGCTTTGTGTTCCTCAATTCTAATGTTCTTACTTACATTAGTGGACTTCGCTTCTTGTGGCACCATCTCCAACTTCAGCACCTCACTTCTGGCACCAGTATAAAAGACTTCTAATACCTCATCTTTACACTGATCAAAGCTATGAAGCAGAACACCTATCAAGAGTGTAGGACTGATCACCTCATACTTATCTCTCCACTACTTCTGCTGTCTCCAATATTTATGTTAGGTTTGTATTTGACTGAAGAAGTGTGTTGACAAGGCCAACAGTTTCAACAATAAAGATACCCAACTGTTGCAAGTGTTTCTCATCTACTTGTCGGTAATGTATACCATTAATATAACAAAATATTATTACAAACTAGGTAATAAAATATTACAGGCATCATTGACAAAAGATTGTCACTGGAAGTTCACTTTAACGAAAATGTGACAATTTCCTAAAAACACTGATCACTGATCCTTAAATTCCTTCCCTCTTTCACCCTCCAATCCTCTTTTTTTTTTTTTTTTTTTTCACTCACTGGCATAACATCAAGGATCTTTTCATTCATAACATAAATGAAAAGTTCTTCCTTAGCATACACACTAGAGTAAGTTCTCTTACAATTTAACTTCACATAGCATGATTTTGCTGTAATGCAATAAAAGAGTAATGCCAACATTTAATGCAAAAATTTTGATATGAACCATTAATCTCAAAAAATTAAATAACACAAAATTTGAAATTTGAGTACTACATTGCTGTTATATCTGCTGGCCAACAGCCAGGCCATGTGGCCATCCTGCAGCCTTCCACAATTCTTGATAAGCAAGAACGAATGTCCCCTAGATAGTATTACACACCCAAACCATTTTTTTTTATATAAAAACTGATATAATCCACACTTTATACAAAACAGCAATATAAAAAGTTGGAAGAAAATATTCAGCATTTATTAATATCAAGAATCCACAAAAGTTCAGAAAAACACATTATGATAATTGCACTGTAATTTCCAGGCTGTTTATGATGAGGCTATGTATTCTAGCTGCATTTCTACAATTGATGAACATGTGGGTGATTGATAACTTCTTTCATGATAACAGTACAGCAATTTCAGAGTGTTTACGTAAACTAACCTCTGGACCAGAATCGCTGTCACTCCCACTGAGCACAGACCTCTTTTTACGTTTCTTGGCTTTCTTATTAGTGCGAGGAGCCTCGTCATCAGAATCACTGATACCTCCAGACCCACTGCCACTAGGCCTCTTCTTACGTTTGACCTTGAAAAATTCAACATTTAATTTCAGGAAAGCATGCAGTGCTTAACCCTTTGATTGTTGCAAGCCCATTTCTGAAAATGTCATTCTATGTCAAAAAATATTAAAAAAGAAAAAAAAAAATTTTCTTACCAAAATGTTAGGATTATTTTGCCGAGTGTTTTAAGCCTAAAAACAATTTTTTTTGTGATCAGTGCTTACCGAGATATAGAGGCGTAAGGTTGGCAGAAAATGAGCTGCGTGTGGCAACAGCAGCAAATGCCGCTCACCCAGTAAACTTTTTTTTTTACTCCCATTAGAACGTTTCTTGTTTTCTCCACTACTTTACTTTTTCAGGTAACTTATGTGGCTCATGAGACCAAAGTAAGATGCAATGTACGTATATACACACATTGTATGCAACACAATAATGGCACAAAAAAAAAATGTTTATTACTATTGTTCTATAATATATATACAAATGTACAGTCACTGAACATGTTCCAAGAGGCTCTGCAGTTTGTGGAACTCTTTGAAACATGGTTTCATACACAATGGTGTCTTACACCCCGCACACATAAAACGAGTGTCTCTGCAATTTTGTGGGTTTTTTTTTGTATGTGCGCAGACAAAACACCTCGTCTGAGCAGTTTTCTTCATAGTAGCAGTGGGCAGTTGTGTTAGGTAATTATCCTAGGTAAATGGTTGTGGGTCATCATTACTTCCTACCTACCTTTCTTTCTTCTGGTTTCTATAATATGTACAGTATATACATATATCAAGTCACTGAACACTTTCATAGAACTGCTATTATTCCAACATCTGGCAGCAGTGCTTCATCAGCAAGTACTGAGTGAGGATTTTCTCCACCAGAGATTGGTGCAGTTAATAATCAGGGCACTATCACTGCACCTGAAAACCTACTGCACCAAAGTACGAACAGCAGGGACACATCTGTCAGAACTGCACAGGGGCGTGGTAGAGGAAGACATCTACAGCCGTCTCACCTTCCACCAACACAGTCCCAGAGGCAGAACCTATGGACAAATCAGCAAAACACAAGGGAATACAAATAATAGTCCACCCTCCCAGGCACCTAGGCAGTGCTCTCGCTGTCACCGGAAGGGATACACCACCAACAACTGCCTGCGAGATACCATGTGCAATTACTGCCACAAGAAAGGACATCAGGGGGACGAGTGTCGGAAGAAAAAGGAACTTGATAGACAGGACCACCTGTTTAGAGACCTGTTCTCGGAACAAACCAGCAGGATCTCTGAATTGGCGAACACACACTCATGTCACCCACTCAGCTACTCCTATCTCAGCCCAGCAGGTGGTATTGTGCGTTATACAAGACCACAGACCTACATCCCTGCAGCTGCCTCAGTGCCCTACTTCTCTCGAGGACGGGCACCTTACATGCCTTACACACCCACCACCTCAAGCTGACCACATCATGAGGAGCCAGTCTATCAGCATCCTGTCAGCCAACACTAGAGGTTTCATTACTAATGTTGGAGAGCTCACACACAGTTTTGTGAACACTTGACGTCCCGACATGATAGCTGTTGTTGAAACATTTTTGGATGACAGGACTCCAGAAAATTTTGCAAGAATTGCTGGCTACACCTCATGGATGATAAAAGACAGGCAAGGGCAAGGAGGAGGTGTTGCTGTGTGTTTCTCTAAAAGTGTACATGCCCAACAACAACACAACAACAACACATGCCCAGCACATTGATGTTGCCATCTCTACTCATCTTAAAATGATGTTCTTCAAGCTATGCATAAACATTAGTACCTCTGTACTAGCATGTGCAATGTACAGACCTCAGTGGCAACATGCAGACCCCATCAACTTCATAATGGAAAATGTGGACTCCCTTCTGCTACAACACAACTGTCCACATGTCATAATTGTTGGTGACCTCAACCAACACCTCATACAGAGGGACTTTGATGACCTTCTTGCAGTATTTGACATGAGAAACTTTATTGATTTCCCTACTCGCATCTCTGGCTCCTCCCTTGACCCAGTAGTGAGCAATTTAGCAGAAAATATAGTCACTTGTCAACCCCTCGGCTACGTTGGATCATCTGACCACAAGGCTATTTTTACGACACTTAAGATCCCAACAAAATGAGGTGAGGAGTCCACACGCACAACCTAGCTATGGGAAAGAGGTAATTGGCCAGCCCTTTGCTCTGAGCTCGCCACCACCGATTGGAATGCTCTTCTCCAAGGGGATGGTGACAACCAAGTGAAAGCCTTCACTGGACACATCCTTAATCTACAACAGGAACACATTCCTCATTGGCAATATGTGACGAAGCCTACAGATCAGCCTTGGCTTGGCTTTTGTTGTAGAGTGGCTAATACTGCTAAGTACAAGGCATGGCGAAGGTATAAGAGACCCTACCACCTATAACAGGAACTTGCACGAGCAAGCCTGTAGGCGTATGAGTGATGTTCAAAAGTGGGCCATTGCTAAATGGGAGATGGACACAAAATGAAAGCTAGCATCAGGTAGGGTAGGCTCCAAAACTTGGTGGTCCCTGGTCAAGGACAGACAAGGTTATTTGCCTGATGAACTCATTCCACCTCTAAATTGACAGGATGGGACCACCTCTACTAGTAGTCAAGAGAAAGCAGACCTCTTTGCCGAACACTTTGCTACCAAAATGCAAGTTCCTGATCCAGCAAGGGACCCTCCCTGGCTAGCTGCAAGAACTGTGTCAAAACTGTCAGTAGTGACAATAAGGCAGGAAGAGGTGCATTTCCTTCTTAAATCGCTTGACCAAGAAAAGGCTGTGGGCCCAGACAAGTTGAGCTCAAGATTGCTGAGATGTGCAGATCAGCTAGCAGCACCTAACTTGTATCTTTCAGCACTGCCTGTACAATGTAAATGGCCTTCTCTGTGGAAAGAGGCAAATGTAGTCCCTGTTCACAAAAAGAAGAGCAGAGCAGAAATCAGCAACTACAGACCAGTGTCACTCCTGTCAATCACTGGCAAGCTCCTTGAGACAATAATCTCAAGACAAATGACAGAGTTTTTTGACTAGCACTCACTACTTTGTGACTGTCAATATGGCTTCAGAAAAGGTTACTCTGCTGCTGATTTGTTGTTAAACCTCTCCACTAAGTGGCACCAGTCACTGGATGAATCCAAAGTCAGCTGTGTGGTAGCACTGGATATTGCTGGTGCTTTCGACCAGGTGTGGCACCAGGGCCTCTTAGCAAAACTTCAAGCACTGGGAATTGCAGGCTCTACGCTATGTCTCCTCAGTGATTACCTTCATGGTAGATCTCTAAGGGTAGTTCTCAATGGAACAGAATCAGCAAGACATCTTATTGGGGCAAGTGCTCCACAAGGAAGCGTGCTGGGACCATTGTTATGGAATGTCTATAAATAACAAAAAAGGCACAATACCGGACCGAAACGTCGTCGTAAGCTTCTCTCTTTTATGTGCGGGTTATTTGTGTATGGAATGTCTACTTCAATGACCTTCATCTCATCCCAGAATCCCATGCATATGCAGACGACTGTACACTGACATTCACTTATCCAAGAGAAGAAATGCCAGCTGCTCTAAACTACATCAATCACCAGCTAAGAGCTATATCAGCTTGGGGAAATAGATGGCAAGTAACATTTGCACCTGAGAAAACACAAATAATGATAATCTCTAGGCACCATGATGGTAATGCTGGTGCAGTAGTAAGGATGAATGGGAGGGTGTTGGCACCTGGGGAAGAAGTTGATATCCTTGGGGTGAAATTTGACTCCAAACTGATCATGAAAAAACCACGTTGTAAATCTTGCAAACAAGGCAGCCAGGAAGCTTACAGCACTTCACCGTATCTCACGGGTTGCAAGATTTTGTACGAGGCACACGTACGCTCACACCTTGAGTATGCTCCACTGTCTTGGTTCGCCTGCCCCCCTTCTCATCTGCAACTGCTGGACAGAGTAGAGAACAGAGCAAGACGTCTCATCACTCGTCTGGACCAATCCTGGATAGATCTGTCATTTCAGCAGAGCCTTCAACACAGGAGGGATGTGGGTGGAATTACTATTATGTACAAGGCCAATATTGTCAAAGTACCACACTTAGATCCACTTCGAGGACAGCGTGAAGCAAGTTTCTATACCACAAGATGGGGAGAAAGCAGCAACTTCACTTTGGCTGTATCCTTCTCCAGAACATCACTTCATCTGAGATCATTTATCCCCAGGATGACTCGAGTATGGAACACATTCATACAGCATTATGATGTCAACGAGATAAAGTCAGTTGATCAGATGAAAATGCTGACCCACAAATGGCTCCAACTTCATCTTGTTCCCTACTTGTATGTTTCATAACAATAAAAATGCTTTCAAATAAGCTGATGTAGGTAACAGCTCTTAGCTTGTCAATAAAGTTAGGAATCCTTAACCTGTAAATAGCTTGTCAATAAAGCTAGGGATCCTTAACCTAACCTTGTCAAACCCTGTGTAAAAAAACACAAAACACACACACACACACACACACACACACACACACAACACACTTGTAAATATGCTGAGTAAGGGTGTGGCAGCTGCCAAAATGACATATTATACCATCACTCACTCCCCTTACTGCCTGTCAACACCCATGGGAACCCATGCCTTCTTCTCCACAGTATCCTTCCATTATTTGTCTGTTTTTCTCCTTTCTTTCTTCTCCTTTCTCCTTCTTTCTCTTTCTTTCTCCTTTCTCTTTCCTTCTTTCTATCTTCTGGTATCCTGGGCATTGCTTTTGCTCACAAACTCCTCAAAACCATGAAATTTATCTTCACTGACACTTCCATCTGTGTTACATCTATCACTTGGTAAGAGAAGAGCCCCAGCTTCACCGGGGAGTCAGATATTTCTTACCACTAGGCATGCTGAACAAGGACTACTGAAATGGTGTTCCCACAGTGCACCACTGGCTCCCCAATTATTTTTTATACTGCTTGCACTGACTATGGAGACTCATTCTTCTCTCACACA